CACGCGACGTTCAATGACAGGGTCCTATCCAGGATTACATCTGAAAAATCCAAATCTGGCCAACGCCCACCCTAAACCTAAACCTGTTCTAATCCACCTGAAATGTCTAACGAATGGAAGACTTTGACTACCCAGCCATGCAATAGTCTCATTCCGTGCCTTATGGCAACTTGATGATTCTATTGCGCTCATCTTTTGGCACCACCCAGGGGAGACTTGGTCCTGTACCCAATGCTTAACTTATCTCCATTCCACTCATCTACTCGGAATTTCTTGTGATATAGTGGGCGGAATATTATTACATGAGACAATTCAATGCAAACGTCTTTCCAAATTTGGCAGATCGACAGGTAATCGGTGAGTTACCACGATAGTTGCTATTTAACAACTCGACAACGTCCCATCGTCAACGCCATGCTAGGAGGCGAACCGGAAGAATCGATGAGCTACCTCTCCCCCTATGTGTATTTCCAATAGAAACTGCATGAAAACTTTTTTCCGCGTACTAATTTCATATGTACATCGAGATGTTGCTCATATTAGAAAACAAATTCCTGTTGAAACTCAAGAGGTTTTACTCAGTCCACTACGTTTCAAGAATATGAGTGAACTAATCTCAACTTTGAGGTTGACTTCATTTGTCGTGTAATCGTAATTTTTTTTTTATTAATTGCTTTATAACGTATACGGCGTATATGGATGCATTCCCAATTCCAATTAGGTCCAATTCGTTAAAAGCAGGTCATTTTTGCTCGAACATGACTCTTACTTCTTTCTTTCTTCTTCTTCGCATTTCAAGCTTATTGCATATCGCATATTAGCTTAGTGCGAGCTCTCAACTTAGTGTTCTAGATGCACTTCCACAGTTATTAATTGAGAGCTTTCAATGCCTGTACCATTTTTGCATTGGTATAATTGTGTGGCAAGTCCAATCATACTTCTATGCCCAGGGAAGTCGAGTAATTTTCCAACCCGAAAAATTCCTAGACTGGACCGGGAATCGAACCCAGCCACCTCCAGCATGGTCTTGCTTTGTAGCTGCACCTCTACCGACTGAGCTAAGGGAGGCCCCATGACTCTTACATACATTCCCCCCCCCCCCCCCAATCTTCGTCATACGCAAAACTTCTGCTTATTTTATGCAGCCCAATTACAGACATTTCTGAAATTCACAAACATTTTTCGCAGACTTTTGAAAAACAAATCTGGCATCATTGGTGCAGATCACCTTCCTGTAAATTTTGAGATTTATTCAGAAATAATTTCTTATCCCAACAGCTCTATCTTCAATTACCATAGAGCTGATTGAAAGCAATATCGAAAATATATGGAATATAGCTTTGATCCAAATATTCCTTTGCAGACCAAAAAAGAAATTAATTATGCTCTTGAATCTCTGACTACTTCTAAAGTTGAAGCAAGTACTGTCTCAGTTCCAAAATGCGAAGTAAAATTTGATTATATTATAATAGACGATGATCTTCAGCTCTTGATCCTTCTGCAAAATGTCCGTAGGAGGCATTATAAAAGAACACGTGATCCTGCCATTAAAGGGATTCGCAAAAACAAATTGAAAAGCGTTTTTCTGCCCTGAGGAACAAAACTTTTATAAATAATGTTACGAAATTAGATCCGAGTTCGAAACCGTTTTGAAAAAACCTCAAAAGCCTATTCCAGCGCTTATATAATGGTGGTTACATTTTGATCACAAATTAGAAAAAAAAGCTCAGAAACTTGCTAAGTAATTCGAGAGTTCCCATAATTTCAGTTTGGGTCTTACTAGTCCTATTGAGAATTAGGTTGCTCGGGAAAATATGTTTGATGATTACAGGGGGACTGATTTTGACGAAGTAAGATCTAAAACTAAAAAAAAATCATAATGTTAATGCTCCAGGTGGTGATACAATTGTCTAGTTCTTCATAAAAACCTCCCATAGAGTACCTTGTCTTTCTTGGTAAAACGATTTAACAAATGTTTCCATTTGGCATACTTTCCTAATAAATAGAAAAATGCAAAAGTTTTTCCAATTCAGCTGAAGCTTCTAGCTACCGTCCAATAAGTTTGGGTTCTTCAATAAGTAAACTTTTTGAAAAGATAATTTTAAATAGAATGATGCTTCACTTCAATATGAACTCAATTTTTGCAGATGAGCAGTTTGGAGTTCATCATGGGCATTCAACTCATCAACTATTAAGAGTTACCAATTTAATTCTTTCACACAAATCTGAAGACTGTTAGCTGGAATTGTTGTAGAAAAAATCATTCATGAAGGTTTGATTGCCAAATTGAAAAAAAAAAAGATGATGAATATTTTGAAATTAGTTCAAAATTATGTAACTGACAGAACTCTGCAGATAAATTATCAACATTCTAAATCTAAAACCTGTTAGAGCTGGAGTTCCTCAGGGTAGCATTCTTGGGCCTACAAATAACATTTTCACTTCGAACCTCCCTGATTTGCCACAGGGTTGCCACAAATCTTTGTTCGCTGATGACATAGGCATTTCCACTAAAGGAAGAAGTCTTAGTGTTATTTGCAGCAGACTGCAGAAAAGTTTAGATATTTTCTCTGCTTACTTACAAAAATGGAAGATTTCTCCCAACGCTTCCAAACCTTAACTTATTATATTCCCACATAAGCCTAGAGCTTCTTTTTTGAAACCTAATAGTAGTTACATAGTCACTTTGAACGGAGTTCCAATTTCTTGGTCAAGTCAAGTGAAATATCTTGCATTGGTACGTGACCAAACATTAACTTTTAAAGATGATTTAACTTTTTAGTATGAAGATAAACTTCGTGTTGTTGAATTTTTGGACTGATAGAACACAAAAATAATCTAAACAATATCAGACAATACACTAAACCAGGGAACTATATATATGACTAAATTGCAAATTTATAAAAAAATCTATAGAATTTGTAATTTATCACCGCATGCACAGATTTTGCAATTGTGTTATTGTTATTGTTGTTATTGTTATTCTATATTTTAAAAAAATCGATAAGTTTCTTTTACAATCCATTGAGACTAGCAAATCATCTCGTGAAGATTTTATATGAAAAAATATATTTTGAGAAAACCTGTTTGATTGTCCATTGAATAAACTGCCATTACATACAGTATGCAAAAAAAGTTTATCCACCCCCCTACCAATTTACATTTTTTTTGTTTTTCTGGTGAAAATCAGTTTAATTTTATGAGTGTTCTTCCATGATTTATCAATTTATGTTTATTTATCACATTGCCATTGAAAATACGGCGTTTATATCTTTTCTTGAGATTTCATGTGATAAATTATGAAAAATTGTAAAAAATTACGCAAAAAAAGTTTATCCACCCCCAAACGGATACTATGATTTAAGTGTGTTTAACAGAGTTTTAGTGTGTATTCTGCAACTTTATCGAATGTAAACATTGCGTCAATCTGTCATTTAGTGCTCTTGAAGTTTTCATGCTTAAAATTTCAGTTTTGTGTTCAAAATTGGAAGTTGGCTTCTTAAGAGCTACTCTGCCCTTAAGACTTTTCTTATGAAGACGATTTCGTATGGATTGTGATGTCAGTTGAATGGAAAACTCGTTTTCAATCTGTGTCGCAATTTTCGGAGCTGATAATCCCCGGTCCAGCTCCGCCTTCTTCACGATAACTCTGTCAATTTAGTCAGTTGTCATTGAAGGACGCCCCAATCGCTTAGCTGGTGAGATAGAACCACGCTTTTTGTACATCTGTACAATTCTAGCGACCGTATCTTTGTGAAGCTGGACAATATCGGCAATATCACGGTAGCTTTCACCAGTTTTGTGATGTTCAATAATCAAATTTCGGATACTGATCGAAATTTGGTCTTTTTTGGGCATTATGAAACAAAAAACTTCCAATTTTGAACACAAAACTGAAATTTAAGCATGAAAACTTCAAGAGCACTAAATGACAGATTGACGCAATGTTTACATTCGATAAAGTTGCAGAATACACACTAAAACTCTGTTAAACACACTTAAATCATAGTATCCGTTTGGGGGTGGATAAACTTTTTTTGCGTAATTTTTTACAATTTTTCATAATTTATCACATGAAATCTCAAGAAAAGATATAAACGCCGTATTTTCAATGGCAATGTGATAAATAAACATAAATTGATAAATCATGGAAGAACACTCATAAAATTAAACTGATTTTCACCAGAAAAACAAAAAAAATGTAAATTGGTAGGGGGGTGGATAAACTTTTTTTGCATACTGTATGTTGTAAGCAAAAATTCAGAGGATATAAGAAATCCACACTCACATTTGATGTTCTTGCCATTTGATTTGCGTGTATATTTAATAGCTTCCAAAACTTTCCCCTATTTCGTGTTCAGCTTCCAATTGGTGATATCACATCATCTAATGAATTGCAAATGACTTCGAATCAGACATCTTTTAGTTTCCCCAGCAGTAGTCCTATAAAAAAAACCATCCAACATCAAATTCCAATCCACAAATGCTGATTCTTCCCGATCCCATTAACTTCCACACAAACGACCACTTTCGAAACAACTAATGTTATAATCTCCCCCTGTTCATCAAACTCATCGCCATAATCCATTCCGAAAGATCTCCAGTATCTCCCCTCGCTCATCCGGGGTAATATGAAATCACATTTAATACACTCCCATCCATCTCGTCGCAGGCAGGAAGCGAGTCCTTTGATATTTTCACATTTATCACATTATACGTACATTTCCTCAAAATTACCGCACCACACACCGTCTGTCGTCAGAACGACCACTGTTATAGGACCAACCACGACTGTCATTTTTACGACCAGCTCGAACTCGTAACAAAAGACGCACTGCGCTACACCGGGTGATGTCTATGAGTATTGGGTAGGGATATTAAATTCCAACCGCAATAATGCCGCTAGAAAAAAAAATTGGAGAGGACAATTATTGTCTGCTCATTTTCTTCTTCCTACTGTCTAAGAATCAAATAAAAGAAAATTGAGTAAATACGTGGAACCGAGCGTTCATGCAGATTTATTGAATTTTCAACCATCAGGACTGGAATTCATACTTTTTCGCAAACGAAGCGACGCGTCGAGCCACAAACGACATCATTCCAGTGCCACTTGAACAGACGGGACGGTTCGTACCACAGATGGACGCAATGTTCGTGACCGTCTTTGTTGTCCGGCTTCCCGGCGATCCATTTCGCATAGCCAACGTCCACTCCGGTGGCGTGCCAGATGAATTTACCTTCCTGAGCCAAGTCGCTGGCACCAATCCACAATTCTACCTTGGCCGTCTTGAAGGCATCCACCCGTTGGGCCAGAGCTTCCACCTCCTGTTGCTTTTGCTCGCTATCCAGAATGGCCAGTCTCCAGTTGTTTCGGGAGCAATACTCAGCGGCTCCGATCCAGTTAGTCTTTGGGGAAGAGATGGCTGTAGTTTTTCAAATAACGTGAGGTGCGGAAACTTACCACATGATTCGGGAAGCAAAATTTGTTCTTGCTGTTGCATTTCTCTTGGGAGGCTACCAAGCCTAAGAGACAAGCGAAGGCGATCAGTTTCAACGGAAGTTTCATTGCACGGATTACTGAATGAATGAACGGGACGGGAATGGACGCTTATATAGTACAAACTTGGAGCGTTACCTCATGGTGCAATATTTCCAAAAGACGTTAACAAATCGATTGGATGACGTGGACAGATGGCAACATGTGAGTCAATATTGAAACTGCAATTGATCAAATCTGGGTTGTCAGCTCAGTTAGTTCTCCATTGATTGACACTTCGGAATAGTACACCCAATCGGGGGATGTAAGATTTGCTTACAATGGATGTGGGATTCATCATCGCAGGATGCTAGTGGAGACCGCATGAACGGAGGATGAGATATACCGAGCAGCGCCGGTCCAATGCAAGAAAATTGGAGACCGAAAAATGTAGAGTGTAAGTACCAACTGGGGGACTTGAACTACGACCGTTCCGATTTTCAGACCCGTGCTTTCTTCACTGCTCTCTCCTTGCTTCGGAACATGGATTGGCTAAAAGCGAATAAGAAGCGCTCATAGTACGATTGTTTGATTCCGCATGTTTTTCAGCTGAACGTGGATTGGAGAGAATCGAAGCAAGCGTGTGCGTCGTTCTACAATCTATGTACGGGAAATGGCTCTAATGTTGGCCTATGGATCTAAGATTGGGCCCATCGCTAAAAATCTTCTATTTATTAATTTTATCTAGATGATTTCGTCATTGGTACGGTACTAATGGATATTTTTGGTCGCTATTGAAAATTTAGTCGATTTTTAAATATATGTACGGGCCTAAATTAGGGGCATTTAGGCCGATATTACATCCATTTCCCCTATATAACATGAATTTTTGTCTGTCTGTCAGACCCTTATAGACTCGGAAACTACTGTACCGATCGGCGAAAAAATTTGTTTTAGCTGTTCTTGGGGCCGGGAAAGGAACCTATGATGGTTCGAGACCCCTCCCCGCTTAATATGGGGGGGGGCTCTCCCATACAAATTAAAATATAGCATGCTTTTTTGAATCGGCGCATAAACTCAAGCTAATATTGAATCCCGAGCAAGTCCGGGCACATTCAGCTAGTGTTATAGATAAAAAGCTTGGTAGTATAGTCGAAAGCATAGACAGAACACGAAATAAAAGAGATAAAAAAAAACATTGCATTGTCTGCATGATCAACTTATGTCATTCTCTGCGGTATTTGCTGCGGAGGATGATAGGAAATGCAACTAACATTGAATGTAATAAATGTTTGGTATGCGTGTAAGATTATATTAAAAATTTGCATACAGAGCAAACAAGTTGTTTATATTTCACCACTTAAACATTTATTATTTTTATGTTTGCTAAATTTACGATCAAAATTTGTTTCCTCAAATGCATTGCGTCTAGAACAGCATCTTGTGAAAGTTATATGCGAAAATATTAATTCTGAATACATTGATTGTACGCTACAGTCCATTAAATTTATTGTACGAAAAAAAAAACAGAGAATGTAAAAAATCGAGCTGATGTTCAAGACATTTATTTTACGTGTATATTCACAGACAAACAAACATGATATTGTGAATATGTTTGATTTAAAATCATAGTCCATAAAACACTTTCGTCATATGTTGAAAATTCTATGGAAATACTCAGAGGAAGCGTAATGAGCGGAAGGATTTTTTTGAGCCAAATCAGGGTCGATTACCTGGAAACCAGAAAAACCAAAGAATTTCAGGGAGTTTCATTCAAATTCAAGAAAATATTTCTTAATCACAAAAACTTTTTAATAAGTATGACTGACTTCGGTGCAGTTTGAGGATATTTGTTCACTTCAAATTTTTAATAGAGTTGCATACTTGTGGTTGCTCAATGTTTTTGCATTTTTGCAAGTTGATTAAAAATTACTCAAACAAAAGGGTATTTCGATGATCTTGGGCCTAATGTAAATTCAGCTCCCACTGCACTGTCCAGAATGCAGATTTAGGTGGAATGATATGTTTTGAGCCTGAAATTGAAACTTTAGACTAAAAGTCTCTTCAATAAAGTTGTTACTTATAGTTAGGCCCTCATTTTTATGACAATGAATTCTAGGGTGGTTCCTATTATCATTAAAATCAAAAATCTTACTTTTTTGTTTGAATAAATTAAGGTATACATTCTTTGGCAAAGTTATAGCTGAGCTAATTTCAAGCAACTTTGTTCAAAATAACTTTTTTGTATCTCTTAAATTGGCCAATTTAAAGCGGGGGAGGTAGCTCATCGATTCTTCCGGTTCGCCTCCTAGCATCGTGCTATAAAGTACCAGGCGATAACCAGGGTAGTTGATCGATAGCTCGATGACGTCATTTCGTTGGCGTCTGCAATGGGAAATTCTCATAGCAGGCGTTGACGATGGGACGTTGTCGAGTTGTTGAATAGCAACTATCGTGGTAACTCACCGATTACCTGTCGATCTGCCAAATTTGGAAAGACGTCTGCATTGAATTGTCTCATATAATAATATTCCGCCCACAATATCACAAGAAATTGCGAGTAGCTGAGTGAAAAGGAGATATGTTAAGCATTGGGTACAGGACCAAGTCTCCCCTGGGTGGTGCAAGAAGATGAGTGCAATAGAATCATCAAGTTGCCATAAGGCACGGAATGAGACTATTGCATGGCTGGGTAGTCAAAGTCTTCCATTCGTTAGTCATTTCAGGTGGATTAGAACAGGTTTAGGTTTAGGGTGGGCGTTGGCCAGATTTGGATTTTTCAGATATAATCCTAAATAGGACCTAGATTATTTAGTACACTAGTAACCTCAACTTCTGTCACAATGTTTCATTGTGACTTATCAACACTCAATGGGTAAAATATCAATTTTGCGGTAAATTTGAAAAAAAAGGTTACTTGGAGTGTAAGGCGCACTGCCCACTGGACGATTCTAAAGCCTGACCAATATATATAGATACATTCATACCATTGACATTTTGTATTTGAGATAAGACAGAGACAGGATGCGGAGGGCCCGCTTAGGGGGAGCGTAACCCATGTTATGGCTTCCATTTATTAAATAGTTCAGATAGGCTGGAAATGATAGGTTCATGTTGAGAAAATGTACCATATGGTGCCCGTTCACTGATCAAAATTAAATTAGATTCAAATCGTCAGGCCCTGCCCTGTAATAAGGGGATTGACGATGATTTGTCAAGTTTCATTTTGCATTTGCATATATTTGTAAGTTTCGGTTTGCTTTTGTAATTGTAAGATAGATAGTTTGGCTCAATTGAAACATTGAGTTGTATAAACTTGACGAATCATACCTTTAAAATAGTAGTAGTTACAGTGCCGCATTATCTAACAACCACTGCCTGCAACTAATGTTGGAGGGGTCAGCAGGGCTGATTACGGATCAAAACTAACATAACTCTAACACTGAAATAATCCCGAAACTAACGCTCATTCATTGCACTTTGAGTCATAAAGTAGTTTTATTTATTTTCCTACTAATCTATCTACACACTTAGTTTTTTCTATCGAGCTCGGCTGTGCGGGTCTCGGCGGGGATGGTTTCGCTGAGATCTCGGCGGGAGTGACATTTGATTGAGGTCTCGGATAATGCCTTTTCTAATAATCTGCCTACGTTTCTTTCCATTGTTATCTACTTTATCCTCTTTTTATTTTTCTGCTCTTCTTTCCTCTTCTCTTCTTTTGTTTTGTTTGTTTACATATAACTAATACTAATACCTCCTTGTTTTCTCTCTAATTTGTCTACTATGTCCCACCATCACGATGAGAGATGAGCTACCGTACATGATACACGCTCATATACACTCAACTAAAGATCCAGAAACGAAAACCGATAACGCTGAAGATAATGAGCTGTGGTGATTTATATGACTAAATAGTATTATTTATTTATACTAACCTAAACACAACGTGGGGTGACCCAAATCCAAACGATCACTAACCAAAATAATAGACTTATCTTTTTTCAGCAGCACTACACCAGCCAGCAAAGTTCAACAATCCATCGTTGCTTATGCCTTTGTTGTCGTTTGGAACCAGTTTTGCGAGGTAGGCGACGATTGTGCGTATTTCTCGCGTAACTTTTGAAAAGAGCCTATTTATAGCCTGAACAATACGTAAAGAGCAAATTGAAACATTGAACGTCGCGTGAAAGTGGAACTTAATGAAGGCCTAAGTACTTTTTCGTAGTTTTTAGTTTTCGGATTTGAAAGATCGTCGGTTACAGTGGCCTGCTTACTGAGCAGAAAAACGCGGTCCCAGGTCCTTACATATCAAAGAGATCCCAGGTCCTTACATATCAAAGAGAATCGCTTGTGTATCGTGTATTTTGCGAAACTCGTTGTTGTCGTTGGTTCCGGGTTTGAATGGATACAAAAATTTGAGCAACGGTATTATGTGATATGAGGGGCTCGGTGGCCTTAGAGCTACCGTTTTTGCTTACTGAGCAGAACATCATGAGTCTAATCTCAGGCCCATTCACATTCAAGATTCGTCAATCGTTTTATTTGTTAATATGACTACATGGTAATAACAGCAACTCGGTGATTAAAAAGGTGCTCGTCTGCCTTGTTTTGAAGGTAGGTTATTTTTTAAACTCGTATAAAATCAATTTGAATTTATTCATATTTTTTACTACATTTGGGCATATCTTTTCTAATGATCTAGAAGTCATTTGAAGACACCTTTGCTGCGAAATTTGAAATAAGAAAACTAGAGCAAAACAACTGTTTTTTTTTAAGAGCCACCCTAACTCAATTCAAGAAAATAGCTCTAAATCGGCCAATATAAGAGATACAAAAAAGTTATTTTCAATAAAGTTGATTGAAATTAGCTCAGCTGTAACTTTGCCGTAGAATGTATACCTTAATTTATTCAAACAAAAAAGTTAGATTTTTGATTTTAATTATAATAGGAACCACCCTAGAATTCATTGTCATTAAAATGAGGGCCTAACTGTAAAGAACAACTTTGTACAAGATGCTTTTAGTCTAAAGTTGCAATTTCAGGCTCAAAACATATCATTTCACCTAAATCTGCATTATGGACCACTGTG